TTGGGCGGCGTTATGCAAATCTTCCCACATCGTGACGTAGACATGTGGGGGCGTGTTAGAACGAGACGTTTTAGGTAGGCGTGGCTGACTCTTAACTTTTATAAAGAATATCTCTTTGGATTTGAGCCTTTAGTCTTTGCAACTTTACAGATCTTCTTAATGCACCAAGAACTTGTAACATTCCAAAGAGAAAGGAAAAATTGAAATCGCATCATATGACCCCTTTAAGTGATTTTAATTTAGTTTTCTTTTAAATTATTTTATTTTCAGTGGTTTTTATTTTGCATTTATTAATACATGTACTTTTTTTATTTGCTTTAACTAGGTGTGTTAATTTTAAGTGATTTTTATTTTTTATTATTTTATTTTATTTAAATTTGACTCCTACTCCTGATGTTTTCTTTTCCCTTGGTATTAATTTTATGTAACTAGGTGGTGTGTTTTAAGTGGTTTTTGTTTTATTTAAATATTTATTTTATGGGATTTTATTTTAACTTTTTTTATTATTATTATTTTGATTCCTACTCCTTAATGTATTGTTTTTCCCTTCGTATTAATTTATGAAACTAAGTGGTATTAAGTATTTTAAATTTTTGTTTTTATTTAAATTTTTATTTTATTTTGTCTCCAACTCCAAAATGTATTTATACATGTACATTATGCAGTAAAGTTTAAGGACTCTTTTGCCTCTTACAGTTAAATGTTTAATTATATTATATAATTATTATATTATATTTGAATTAAATTATAGGGTATTTAAATAAAATTCTTCACATATTTGAATATTTGTTTGATCATCAAATGAAGGTGGTACTTCAGGCTTAGGTATACATGTTATACACCAATATACACACTTCTATGGAAAAGTCATTTTTTTAAAATGTGAAGTGATTTGAGTCTTCATTCTCTGCCATTCAGTAGTGTTTTGCATAACAAAATTTATACAATTTGATGCTGGTATATTGTGCACCAGTTGGTCACAATACTTGTACAGCTGCATTCACCCTTGTTCTCCGAGCTCTTCATTGGCTCTACATGGAGAAGTCTGGGTTCCCATGAACTCTGGCGGTGGAAGACTGGCCCCTGGAAGCTAAATTTAGAGAGGCCGTGCTGTGCGCTAGACTAGCGAGAACATGGTGTTGTGATATCCGTTCAAAACAAAATGGAAGTATTTGCCAGAAACAAACCCAACACCCAGGTGGAACACACTCCACACGCTTGCACTTTGAAACCCGGTGGCGATGCTTATCAGCTGACGGGCCCTTTTACGTCCGCACCCACCCACCCACCCACTTTCCCATCTGGTCGCGGACACCAGGCTGTCACGTAAGAGCTGTGTGCAGTCAGGAGGGTAGTGATGCAACCTTGTTCCAGCACATGCTGATCCATGTGTGTGGGTGGCATGTGTCCAAGGTCCGGCCCTGCATGGGCACACACAATTCGACGGCGACTGTAGCGACTCATGCCTCCTACTCTCAGGCATAGTCCCCTGTCCGTTTACCCTCGATGGAGGCTGGGCCTGGTATTGGGATGCATTGGCCCATGTCATACTGCCCCCTGTTGACATACAAACCTCAAGCAGCATTATAAACTTATGTTTGATGGCATTAAATGTTTCAAAGTTGGTAGTTCTGCCAAAAATGAAAGTCATCTGTCATCACCTTGTTGGTCCAAACCTGTACGAGTTTCTTTTCTGCTGAAGTAAAAAAAGATAACATTTTGAAGAATGTTGGTAACTAAACAGTTGATGATAGCCATCGACTTCTATAGTATAGTAATTTTTTTTTTTTCTTTTCTTTTTTTCCATACTATAGAAGTCAATAGCTACCAGCAACTATTTGGTTACCAACATTCTTCAAAATATTGTCTGTGTTAAACAGATGAAAGAAAGAAACGGGTTTGGAACAACTTGAAGGTGAGTAAATTATCATTTATTTTAGCTGAACTATCCCTTTAAGTGCACTTAATGCATTTGACATTAAAATATGCACATTTCTATGGAAAACTAAATTGCCTAAAGTGATTGGAGTGCCTATTCTCTACCATGTGGTGGTGTTTCACGTAACCGCGACAAACGACACAATGTATACCACTTGACAAATTTGTACGTATTTGCGCTTGACATATTTTGGTGTGTATTGTTTTAACTGGTATATCGCACACCAGTTAGTTACAATCTTATTAAGGCCAGTTTATTTAGTTTCTTTCCCTTTATTTAGGGCAATTAATGCAATTTCCAAAGTTACTTAAAGGCTTCATCTGGTTTGGTCTTCATGAATACTAGTCAAAAATGTTGTTGACAAGTCATGGACAATATTTGTGTAACCAACATCTCGTTATTAGTAATCAAATAAGACTTTCTCAAAAAGACGCTCTTGGCAAGTTCAGATGGGACTAACGAATGTCAAATATTGTCTATTATCCATCAGAATTTCCTTATTAAAGTTAAAGGGGATAGTTCACCCAAAAATGAAAATTATGTCATTAATTACTCGCCTTCATGTCGTTCCAAACCTGTAAGACCTTCGTTCATCTTCAAAACACAAATTAAGACATTTTTGATGAAATCCGAGAGCTTACTGACCCTCCCATAGACAGCAACGCAACTGAAATGTTCCCAAGTCCAGAAAGGTAGTAAGGACATCATTAAAATGGTCCATGTGGCACCCGGAAAAGAAGAAATCATTGAATAAAGTCATTATTTTTGTTTTCTCTGCACACAAAGTATTCTCGTAGCTTCATAACATTATGGTTGAACCACCGATGTCACATGGGCTATTTTAACAATGTTCTTACTACCTTTCTGGGCCTTGAACGTGGTAGTTGCGTTGCTGTCTATGCAGGGTCAGAAAGCTCAAAGATATTTCCGATATTTCATCAAAAATATCTAAATTTGTGCTCTGAAGATGAACGAAGGTCTTACAGGTTTGTAATGACATGAGGGTGGATAATTAATTACGCAATTTTTGTTTTTGGGTAAACTATCAAACAAACCTGTTGCATGCTTTTATATTTCTGTTACACTTTCAAACCAATTAATGATCCTACATTTGCAGCACAATCCACAGCACTTCTCTGGATTAGTCAGGTTTTTTGGATCTCACTGAAGCAGTTCCTTGGCTCTTTTAAAACTGATGATTGTCTGTCTTTCGTTCCCTGTAGAAAACTGTGTAAGCCTCAGAGCAGTGGCCCTGTGTCTGGGGAGAGTCCGGTCAGCCCGCACAAAGAGCCAGCCAGCAGCTCGCCCTCTCAGGTCAGCCTTTTGTCCCCTTTTAGACCCGCCAAAGCCGGTTATGATGGATCTGCTTAAATTGAGGAAATATTCAAGGGTTCATCCTTTCCTGCCCCCACATTTCTTCATAATCTTTCTTCAAAATGCTCCGCCTGACTTTTTTTTTTTTTACTTTTTTTTTGGCGGACGTGACTAAGCCCTCTCTTGTGTACTAACACAAGCATTGCTTTGCTAACAAATCAAATCATTTTAGTGTGCATGATTCTTTAGTGCATGTTCTTCTGAAGTTTTACATAATCTTTGACCAAAATATAATGATACTTATGTTAAATTTCATTTTCTCTGCCTCTAAAATGCTGAAATTTAATCGCTATTTAATATTTGACTTTAAACCGTCCCGATTTGACGAACAATCATTGCTCGCATCCAACAGAAACGACCTGCAGAGTTCATCGATCCCCTGGCCAATAAGAAACCCAGAATATCGCATCTAGCCAGCAAGTCTACGGGGCTCATTAACGGCAAACTGAGCTCGTCCAATGGGAGAGACTCTTCTAGTTCTCAATCAGCAGAGATGTCGTCGAGCTCCCACTTCCCTCCGTTGGAGATCCCCCGACCCTTCGAACCCCTTTCGGACGTCAGCAACGACTCCAACGGCCGAGACTGTGAAAGTCAGGAGGCGGCGGTGGCGGAGAGACTGAGTCAGCCCCCATCGTTCGCCCCTCGCTCCACAATGCTAGAGGAAGGGCTGAGCTCCACGTCCCCGGCCCACAGCAGCCTGGACGGGTCTCAGACCCAGAGCGCTCAACCCTCCCTGCATGGCAAGTCTAAGAAGAAGTCCAAAAAACACAAGGACAAAGACAAGTCCAAAGAGAAAGATGGGGACCGAGAGCGGGACATGAAGAAGAGGAGAGTTGAAGACCATGGCTTGGATCAGTGGAAACCCTGTGACATCACGAGCGATAGGAGCCCAGGTGCGGATCGGTTTCTCTGAATCATTTATGATGTCAAGTGTTATGAGGTCAGAAAGTACCTCGGCAGTGAACGGACAAACTTTTGTCCCACTTGAAATCTAGTCTTGATTAGATCTGCGATGGAAATGTGTTTGAAAGTGTTTTTATGTTTCTGATCTCAAGTAGTGCATGTCTGCATGTTGCTTAGTAAACCAATAAACAGCGAAAAAACAAACAAACTAGTCTTTAAAATAAATAACCAATTTAGTTTCTAAATGAGATTTAGTTATAGTTATTCAAGCAGCCCTCCAATCAGATATTTAGTCCAACAACCCACACATTAGGTTAGGGAAGTCATTAGCTGGTAATCGTTCAGACAACTAGTTGAATAGTCCAACCAACCTAGTGGTTAGTGAGGACAATATCTTGTATTGCAGTTCCGACAGCCCACCCCACCAATTAGTCAATTAGTAGTCCAAAAACTGGCAGTTTGTTAGTTAGCTGAATAATTGTACAGACAACCCACTAACTAGTTGATTTATCCTCGTTCATGACTAGGTTGGTTGTTGGACTAATACTTGAATGGTTGTTAAGAGAGCCCATCACACCAACTAGCCGATTAGTAGTCCAACAACCAGACTAGTCTGTTGGTAAGGTCAGTTAGTTGAATAGTCGTTCAGACAACCTATCAACTGTTTGATTAGTACTCTAAGGGGCTGTTCACACAGAACACGTTTTTCAATTCCAATGTGCTACTTTTCCATTGTTCTATGTAAACGCATTAGACCAGGGGTGTCAAACTCAGTTCCTGGAGGGCCGCAGTGCTGCAGAGTTTAGCTCCAACCCTTATTAAACACACCTGATCCAGCTAATCAGGTCCCTTTAGGCTTATTTGAAAACTACATGGTATGTGTGTTTGAGCAGGGTTGGCTGACACCCCTGCACTAGACAGATGTATATGACCATTGCGTTTTTGTCTTTTATTTTGCGTTTTTAAGACGCCGTGGCAAGTTAAAAGAATTTCAACTTTTACACGCAGTGCCGCTCATCAATGTCAGTTCCAAAAGAATGGACCAATCAGAAGACCCCAGAGGTGGGGCAAGCATTGCGAGCTTTTGTTTACGGTCACAAGTTGGCATAGCAAATATTTTATTTGACAGAAACATGGCGGAGGAGGAATTCTGTGCTGCACTTTTTTTAAACCATGCCTGAGCGCCAAGTCTCGTGTTTTAGACGCAAAGAGGCGTTCTGTGTGAACGGCCCCTAACAACAGACAAGTCGGTTAGTGAGGTCAAATTGTTATAAAGTTATTGAATAGTTGTTCAGACAGTGCACCACACCTACTAGCCGATTAGTAGTCCAACAACCAGACTAGACTGTTAGTAAGGTCAGTTAGTTGATTAGCTGTTCAGACAACCTATCAACTGTTTGATTAGTACTTCAAGGGGCCGTTCTCACAGAACGAGTTTTTCAATTCCAATGTGCTACTTTTCCATTGTTTTCTAAATACGCTAGATGGACGTGTATGACCGTTGCGCTTGCGTCTTTTGCACTGTGTTTAAGATGCCGTGTTAAGTTAAACATTTCAACTTTTACATGCAGCGCCACTCATCAACGTAATTTCCAAAACAGTGGACCAATCAGAAGACCCCAGAGGTGGGGTAAGCGTTGTGAGCTTTTGTTTACAGTCGCAAGTTAGCATGGCAATGGTTTCATTTGACGGCAACATGACCGAAGAGGAATTCTGCGTTGCACTTTTTTAAAACGCGTTTTAGACGGACACATTGTGTGAACGGCCCCTAACAACAGACGAGTCGGTTATTGAGGTCAGTTAGTTGAATAGTTATTGAATAGTTTTTCAGTTAGTAAAGACTGAAATTTTAAAAACGTCCATTTCCTGCTAACATTTCCGACCAGTACCGAAGTCGGTACTTTTGATGACACTAGTAAGGTCAGTCCATCGACTAGTTGATTATGAGTCCAACAGCCAACCTATTGTGTTAGTGAGGTCAAATCGTTGAATAGGCATTCAGACAACCCTCCAACTATTTGACTAGTAGTCCAACAGTTGACACGCTTGGTCTGTGAGATCAATTAGATGAATAGTCATTTAGGCAGCTCACCAACCAGGCAATTAGTAGTTCAACAGCTGACCTAGACGGCTAGTGAGGTCGATGAGTTCAGATGTTTGGACAACCCCCCAACTAGTTGACTAGTAGCCAACAGTTGACACACTTGGTCTGTGAGATCAATTAGATGAATAGTCATTTAGACAGCCCACCAACCAGTCGATTATTAGTTTAGCAACTGACCTAGTCAGCCAGTGTGGTTGATTTAGTTAAAACAACCCACCAATTAGTACATTTTAAAAATGTGTAGTTTTGAAACCCCTCTTCAGCTTGTTTCTAGCAGGTTTTTTTCTCTCTCCGTTATAATTCTGGACTGACGTCACAGCGCACTGTCCTTGTCCCTCAGTCTGCAGGATAAAACTGTCCTTGAATTCACCTTATATTTCTTTTCAGGTCTGAACGGAACATGCAACAGCTCCAGTATTCCTGCGTCTTCGTCGGCAGACTATTTATTGTAAGCATCTCTTTGTACATTAAAAGATGCTTTTACCTTTTGCGTCAGGTTTGTTAGAAAAAAGTGTTATATAAATGAAAGAAAATAACATTATACTTTTATGACGGTGATGTTTTTTTTTTTATTCGCTTGGTTTCCTCAACAGAAAGTACACCGTGATAAGCTCGCAAGAGCAGCGTCAGAGTTACAAAAACGACTTCAACGCAGAGTACAGCGAGTACCGGGGCCTCCACGCACGGATAGAGAGCATCACCCGACAGTTCACTATACTCGACACCGAGCTCAAACAACTCCAGCAAGGCACAGACAAGTATAAGGTATCTTCACACTGAAAATGCAGTGCATCCATCCACACATATGATTACAACTTGCTTATTTTTTTATTAATATGCTGTCGGCCCCTGCCTGGTCCCAGTAGTTGCGTCTTCCTTCGGAAAATGAGAAATTAAAGAGTGTAGTTGACTCATCCAGAGTCCTAGTGTTTTTTCGTCTTGATGAATTAGAACACGTTACTATGCGAGAGGTAAGAGAAGAAAAACAATCTAGTCTTGGAGCGTAATGAAATAGACAACACAATCAACCGACTGTTTAGATGCAATGTTAAATAACCGGAGCAGAATGTCATAAGGATCATTTATTTCTCCTACACGCAGTCATAATTGTTTATAGGGCTTGATAATAAGGATGACCCTCTGTTTCGAGTCAGCTGCCACTTCTATTATAGCTGTAAAACTGTGTTGCCAGATCTGGCTAGAAAAAAAAAAGCAACATGGTCTAACAAAACCACTAAAGAGGGAGAAACACGGGAGGAAATGTATGCGTTATACACAGAGCCGGGTGGATTACTGAGAAATTGTAGTCTGTTACTAATTCCAAATTGCATGACAAAATTTGTGGTTCATAACTAAATCCATTACATTACACGTTTTAGGTAATGTAATCAGACTACTTTTAGATTTCTTTTGGCCTAAATCATTTATCACATTGATTTAAATAGGATATTCTTGTACCATATGGATGTAAAAATACAAAGTAAGAAAAGGTTTCCCAAACTGGGGTTCATATAGGAACTGCAGGGGTTTCGGGTGTTCAATGAAAAGCTAATTAATTAAATCACAAAAATGTAATTTTAAAATAAGTTAAAAAAAAAAAATGTATACATTTTATAATTATAATATATAATCATGGGCCATGAGCAAATGTTTATTTTACAAATGTTATTTTAATTATTAAAATATTTTACAATTTAAAAAGTAAATATATTAAGTGAAAGATGACAAAAAAAGTTTTGGAATGCCTGCATTACATGTAAATAAGTAAAATTACGCAAATTTGTGCATTTTAATGTGTTTGAAAGACAAAAGCCTTCCAATGCTATAGTAATACATGGTTAACTAACCTACTGAGTGATGATTAAAATAAAAATTAATGTTTCATCAGTAGCTGAAGCAATGTTCAAACACTTCTTAAACCTGAAATGATTTTTGTAAATCCAGTGGTCAAATGCTGTATAGCCACCTGACTGGTGTTTGTGGGAATTTCCACAAAACTGGAAGACTTTCTGAGTGTATAAAAGCAGCAGACTATTTTTGAACATTTTAAAAAATAAAAAAAGAGGAATTATTATTATGGTCGTTGGGACCAATGGACATCTTGGAAAACAATTCTGGCTTAACTGAAGCCAGCTGAAATAAATTAACTTGCTGTATATTTTGTATTTCTTATTAATGTATTGTTATATATGTATTATTTAAAATTTCAGTTAATTTTATGATGCTTTAAACTACCATTTAACACATTTTACAGTGTTTAAAGGCATTCAACAGACTTTACCCAAGTTTGACTATTATATGACACTACTGGATATGATTTGAGAAGGTAAATTTATCCTGAAGCTTTCCGTAAACCTGTAAGAGACTGAACACAATTTGAAGAGTTCATGTAAAAATATCAGACTACTCTGCCTGTATTCAATCTGATTACACATTTAAAACTACTTTATTCAAGCGGGAACTTCATTGTAACGATCTGTTTGTTCTTTTCACAGACAATCCACAATCAGATACTTGAAGAGTATCGCAAAATCAAAAAGGTAAGCTGACAGTCTCTTTTTTATTTTTCCCACTTTTTTTTATTTATTTTTTGTTACTTAACATCCAAAGTACATCAAGTTCGAAATACTCATTCTTTTTTTTTTTTTCTCCCAGGCTAATCCAAACTATAGCCAAGAGAAGAACCGCTGTGAATACCTACACAACAAACTGGCACATATAAAAAAACTGATAGCAGAATATGATCAACAGCAACTGCAAAACTGGCACTAATAACAATCTCTCAATTTCTTTCTCAATCTTTCTGTCTCTTTTGAGAGAGAGAATCTCTGGATTATTTTTTTGTTTTTCTTGACTTGCTCTAATGTAAAATGCCACGAAACTGATTTCTTTTTTTTCCCCGTAGTGGGCCAAGTGCTCTAGTGAGGACAATGCAGACCCATGAATTTAGTTTTTTATGGGACTCGGGACATGGGCGTACTCAGCCATGCTTACCTGTGTAGCCTAATGCATTATGGGATTGGTTGCCAGCTTCCTTCCCTTCTCAAAGGTCTCCAAGTGTGAAAGGAAAAACTGTTCTTTGGAGATCTTTTCCGAACAGGGGATAACCAACACCCATTCCCAGAATCTCATAGTTTAAGGTTTAGAAAAAAATTTAATGGATATTTTTTTCTGTATGTACTAAAATGGAAGGTCCTATATTTTCTTTTCTTTTATATTTATTTTAGTCTTCCATAGGGATACATCAGGCACTATTTGGCTCCTTATTTTGTGCAATGCGCTAGACCACGTGCGATGGACATGAATCGGATGCCTATGGGAAGGAGATAACCATCTGTTTAGAGGCTTTGACAGTATCAGTATTACCATGGTAGAGCGCCATACGAATGAACTTGCCATTCCAGTGGTGAGGGAGCGCTTCGGTGTTGGCACATTTTTACAATATTTTACGCTTTTAACTGAAAAAATATGACTTTATCACAACCCGAATCATGAATCAGGTGTGGTTGTACAAAAAAACGCAGCAAATCTTGTAAAATTGTGCCTCAGGTGAGCCGTTTGTCGTCCTTCAGGTATCTACAGTAATCCAGTATTGCTAGTTACGAGTGTGACGGTAACATCACATTTGCGGCCAAACTTCCTTGGTATTCTTCCAGAAAATAGCGATTGTATCCCTTTAACGCAGCCTTGAGGGGCTGGTTGGTGAAGAAGACGCGAAAATGGTAGAAACGCAACCTTGGCTAACTGTCTGAACCCTTTAGCAATTCAATGCTTGCTTGAATACTGAGTATTTGTGGTGGGGTTGACCATTTCTGACAGTATTTTCGTTACGAGATGACTGTTAAATTCCATCAAGGCATCTCATCGTGGAGGATCCATGACAAACCTCTGACGTGCTCCTCACGTTACCTGTGGACGCTCGACCACAAGTTGCTCATCTGTCGTGTCCTGTTGAAGCATCAGTTGTACTTCTGATATCTGAACTCTTACGTTTAAATATTAAAATTCAGCACTTTGCTCAGCTTCTTGCTGTTACTCTTACCTGGGTTTTGTTGCAAGGAGACACTTGCCTTGTCTGTCTGTGTATGCATGCTTTCTGACTGTTGAAGACACAAAAAAAGGGTTAAAGCCAGTGTTTACAGCGGGTTTACGCTGCTGTTTAATATTCAGAAGACAAATATTTATCAAATTGCCCCGAATTTACCTGGCCAGCATTGGTTCAGTGTTGCAATTGCAAAAATGTAAATAAAGTCAAATTTGACTCTTACGAATTAACTGAGAATAATTCTCAATCACAAATTTACCACATGAAACACAATGATTATTTGTTTTTTTTTCAGAACTGATCATGATCTGCTTTTTGGTCTTTTTGTGTTACCTGCAAAAACGGTCCGAAAATGATGCACAAATTCAACGACGAATACAAATGACGTTTGTTTGGATTTGAAAATGCTACGATACTTTGAAAAAATTGAGACAACTGGGGGGGGGGGAAATGTGCCAAATGACCTGTTGTATAGGTTTGGATCGGATGAAATATGTTGCTGTTTTAGCAAAAAGAAAAAGAAAGGGAGTGGGAGGAGCTTTGGGACGAAGGCTTGATGTCAATGCTAAAACCCAAAGCGAGCTTTTTGAAATAAGGGACTGGGACTGAAATTTATCTTGGTATTTCAATAAAATTCTTGGAAAAACTTGCGTTTTATTCTAATGTTTTGTTTTGTGTGTCCTAATGATGTTTGTTTACCTCGTTTGCTCTTTTTGCTGTTAACTAATACATCACCAGCACAGAATTTACGCTGCAAAAGTGGCACAGAAGCGCTTCTGAAGAGGCATTTAGGTGTCTTTACACAGACTTTAATGCAGCTCAAAGGTGGCATAAATGCATTTACATGGCAACTGCACCTTTATACAGTAGTTTGATGCTAGGGGCTGAGGTGGGTCAGAGCCGGCATAATTTAGTCTGGCTTTTATGCGGCATTGTGTCTTTAAACAGAGCAGCCTTCCTTGTGCCAAACAATACTACAAAAGCAGCACAGAAGCGATTCTGAAGTGGCATTTACACCGATTGTTCAGTGCTGCCCATATGTAACGTGAATGCATTTACACACTTTGATATTAGAGGCTGAAGTGGGTCTGAGCAGGCATATTTTAGTCTGGCTTTGATGTGGCATTGCGTCTTTACACTGCATAGAGTAGCCTTAGCTGTGTAAAGAAGCCTCTATTCAATCAATTGCCAAATTTACACTGCAAAGGTGACAGAAGTGCTGCTGAAGTAGAATTTAAGTGTCTTCACACAAACGGTTTAATGCTGCTTAGAGGTGGCATACATGCATTTACATAGCAATAGCATACTGTGATACTAGGGGATGAGGTGGGTTTGAGAAGGCATAATTTAGTCTGGCTTTTATGTGCCATTGTATCTTTACACTCAATTTTGAGCATGCACCGAGCAGCCTTAAATCAACTGTAAAGATGCCTTAATTTAGCCCAGCTTTTACTTTGGCTATGTAATGCAAAGACGCCTCAGTTCAATCAATGACCGCTAGATGGCACCACAGGTTTCGCTTTTAATCAAGCTGTCCTACTTCCCTTATTTACTTCCAGTGGGACCGTTTATCTGGGTAAACAGGACTCTATATCTGTTCCTAAATATCATAACCTGTACTCTGCTTACCCCAGTGGCTTTTTGTGCCTTATTTGGTACTCGAGCCCCTCGCGCTTTATAAACACACCCGTAACAAATCCTAAACCCTGAGTGGAAGACGCATTTGGATGTATACTCGGGGAAATGTCATGTGTGAAATCCTCAGCTGGCTTCACATTACTTAGTTTGGCTTCACGTCGCTACGTTAGCCTCAATTTTAGGGGAGCTCGAGGAGAGTCAGCGAGTTCAGTCTGGCGCCGCGCCAGCCTCTCGTTCCTGGCTCATTTACGTCTATCCCTGTCCTCGTTCATCCCGTTACGACACACCGAGCCCCCTGACAGCTGGAAGACGCCCTCAAGATTTAAGGCTTTCCTTCCTGTTTGCTTAGGCCCGCAAATTGCGCTCAATGTCCGCGTTTACGTTTCCCTCAAGGTTGTGGGAATGTAGTTTTAATATAGCTCTGCGTCCATGGTTAGGATGGGTTTGCTATTCATATACAAGCTGTCGTTAGTTGAGTGTAGAACAACCAATTTCATTGGAGAGTTATGCTGGTATCCACATATGTTTGTTGGTTTATGCAGTATCTCGTGGAGTGCGTGATATCCTGGAATGCTTGCATATTTAATATGCCTGGAATCATGTTGATAAATCTGAAATGTAAATTTAATAGCCTAGTAATAATAACAACAGGTCACATTATATAAAAATTAAATCTACCAAACTTCTAAAATGTTTTCATTGTCGAGTAGTTTGGGGAAAGTTTGAGTCATTTTAGCGAAGAGTTCATTTTTAAAAAATCTAATAATTTGAGAAGAGTTTCCAGATGTATTGTTATTTTAGTATTATATACTACAAACGCATTTATTCATATTTTGAACAACTTTTTGTAGTTTTTTTTCTTAAAAATATTTATTTTTAGAATGTATTTTGGTTTTAGTAGGCCTAGGCCTTATTTATTTATTTTAATAGAGAGTGGAGTCAAACCACAACACACAAATCTACTTTAAAATACAAAAATCATTCACTACTTCGGTATTCCCAGTGTTTTTATTATTAACTCAAATTATTTAAATTTGTTATTTTGTTTACTGAAATAAAATATAAATATTAGATGGAAAAACAAATGATAACTAACTGAAACAAAGTAAATCGCAATGTCAACAAAATACACTGACAATCACTATAAGAGTACTAAGTAACTAAGACTTTTAATTTATATTTATTATATTATCCTGTCATGTTTCTTTAGACACTTTAGCTAGAAGGAAATTAACATTTCAGTAGTGGTAAAAAAACAATTTTTAGTCATCTAAACACCGGTTTAGGGCTCTTTTAGAATGAAACAGCTGCTTATTGTTATGATCGGTGCTTTTTCAACATATCTTAACTTAAAACGCATGCCACAAATTTACAGCTCACAGATATTGGCTACTTCAGATTTGTTCCTAGTCGCTGTTATATGTTGTGTAAATGCATACATTTAGGTTCTAAATCTCTTTGTTTCTACAAGCTGAGACACAAGAAATGACAAACTATTATTAATAGAAAATGGTAATATATGCTTTTTTTATGATCATTACATGAAATAATTTTAACCGATTATTTCACGCATAAAATGTGGTAATTACCATCATAAAACTATGGTTGTCAAAAATAAACCAAAATGACGTATTTAGCTTGTGACACTATAACAAATTCCTTGTATGTGCAAACATACTTGGCAATAAAGCTCTTTCTGATTCTGATTCTGATTCATATTTAGTTTTACAGTAACTATGGTTATAAGGGCGACTAAATTGCAGGAGTGAAGAGAGTGCTATTTGACATCTTTAACAGATTTCTCTCTAAAGCAAAAACTCAGATGATAGGCTTAACACATGATATACAATAAATATACAAAGTGAAACTACTTTGCTTGCTCGTCACTGCATTACTTTTCCACTATTACCTATTTTTTCTACCTTCTAATTAAATCTTCAACAGTGTAATTAGGTTAGGCTACTCTCTCTAATAAAATATTGCATTACTTATTACTAAATACATCCTAAATCCTATATCAAACTTTACCAGTTGAACATGAAGGATAAACATGCTTTTAATTATTCCTATCTATCTATCTATGTGTCTATCTATCTGTCTGTCTGTCTGTGTCTATCTGTCTATCTATCTGTCTGTGTCTATCCGTCTATCTATCTGTCTGTCTGTCTGTCTGTGTCTATCTGTCTGTCTGTGTCTATCTGTCTATCTTTCTGTCTGTCTGTCTGTCTGTGTCTATCTGTCTATCTGTCTGTCTGTGGATTTCAGGCTCTACAGCCGTGGCCAAAAGTTTTGAGAAAGAAGCAAATATTAATTTTCACAAAGTCTGCTGCCTCAGTTTTTATGATGGCAATTTGCATATACTCCAGAATGTTATGAAGAGTGATCAGATGAATTGCAATCAATTGCAAAGTCCCTCTTCACCATGCAAATTAACTTAATCCCAAAAACATTTCCACTGTATTACAGCCCTGCCACAAAAGGACCAGCTGACATCATGTCAGTGATTCTCTGATTAACACAGGTGAGAGTGTTGACGAGGACAAGGCTAGAGATCACTCTGTCATGCTGACTAAGAATAACAGACTGGAAGCTTTAAAAGGAGGGTGCTGCTTGAAATCATTGTTCTTCCTCCGTTAACTATGGTTACCTGCAAGGAAACATGTGCAGTTATCATTGCTTTGCACAAAAAAGGATTCACAGGCAAGGATAATGCTGCTAGTAAGATTGCACCTAAATCAATCATTTATCGGATCATCAAGAACTTCAAGGGGAGAGGTTCAATTGCTGTGAAGAAGGCTTCAGGGCACCCAAGAAAGTCCAGCAAGTGCCAGGACCGTCTCCTAAAGTTGATTCAGCTGCGGGATCGGGGCACCAGCAGTGCAGAGCTTGCTCAGGAATGGCAGCAGGCAGGTGTGAGTGCATCTGCACGCACCGTGAGGCGAAGACTTTTGGAGGATGGCCTGGTGTCAAGAAGGGCAGCAAAGAACCCACTTCTCTCCAGGAAAAACATCAGGGACAGACAGAAATTCTCCAAAAGGTACAGGGACTAGACTGCTGAGGACTGGGGTAAAGTCATTTTATCTGATGAATCACCTTTCTGATTGTTTGGGGCATCCGGAATAAAGCTTGTCCAGAGAAGAAAAGGTGAGCGCTATACCATCAGTCCTGTGTCATACCAACAGTAAAGCATCCTGAGACCATTCATGTGTGGGGTTGCTTCTCAGCCAAGGGAGTGGGCTCACTCACAATTTTGCCTAAGAACACAACCATGAATAAATAATGGTTAAAAAAACATCCTCCGAGAGCAAATTCTCCCAACCAAGAACAGTTTGGTGATGAACAATGCCTTTTCCAGCATGCTGAAGCACCTTGCCATAAGGCAAAAGCGAACAGCTTGTAACACTCCAAAGAGAAAGGAAAACTTGAAATCGCATCATATGACCCCTTTAAGTGGCTCAGGGAACAAAACATTGAAATTTTGGGTCCACGGCCAGGAAACTCCCCAGACCTTAATCCCATTGAGAACTTGTGGTCAATCCTCAAGAGGCGGGTGGACAAAAAAACCCCCACAAATTCTGACAAACTCCAAGCATTGATTATGCAAGAATGGGCTGCCATCAGTCAGGATGTGGCCCAGAAGTTGATTGACAACATGCCAGGGCGAATTGCAGAGGTCTTGAAAACGAAGGGTTAACACTGCAAATACGGAGTCTTTGCATAAACTTATTGTAATTGTCAATAAAAGCCTTTGACACGTCTGAAATTATTGTAATTATACTTCAGTAGGCCTATACCATAGTAACATCTGACAAAAGATCTAAAAACACTGAAACAGCAGACTTTGTGAAAATTAATATTTGTCATTCTCAAAACTTTTGGCCTCGGCTGTATATAAGTGTTTATATGAATGTTGGTTGTCCTTTATGCCACCATCATTTTGAATAATTTCTCAAATCTTTCCAAGAAAATTAATAAAAGTACTATCTAAAAGAAAACTAATATTTTAGTTTCACTTCACGTTTTTATACAGTCTATGGTTTTCTCCCTGCATTTTAAGTTGAAAGTAAAGGTCCAGCAAATTGATCCTGATAGTAAACATGGGTCCTTCACATTCTGCACATGTGCTGGGGGAAAAAATGATAGGCCTACGTCCCGCCCATTCAACGGTTATTGGCACCGGCATCCTGATTCAAACCGCCCGCTTAATTGTCGATCCGTGTCATCGTTACCCAGCCAATGTGAGAGAGTTGTCGAGGAGAAATCCCCGCCGTGTGTGTGTCAAAAAACAGACGCCTCGCCCCTCTAGTTTTATACATACCAATTTTCACTCTCCCTTTCGTTTCGGTTTTGATGGTACGACCTGCGCACTACACAAGCGCGAACGAATCGTTCATGTGAGTCGGATCTTTTTAATGAATCAGTTGAACGGCTTCCCAAAACATTTGAGAGCAATTCGTTAGGGATAGTTCACCAAAAAATGAAAATTGTCATCATTTACTCACCCCTTTGATTAATTTGATTGATTTATTAATTAATGATTGATTTTAGTATTCTTTAATAAAGCAATAAGCCCCAAGAAGCTGTGGTTTACAGTGAATTTATAATAGCTAAGGGGCATTGTTAGGCACACGCGAAGCAGACCCCCTTATTCCCTAAATGTAGCAAGGTTTCACAAAATAAAACAAAGCAAATAAAATGTAATGATATGAATAAAAATATTATTCTTCCGCCGAACAATGTAGTTCCTCAGAAACGGCTGTGGTTGCAACCATTCAAATCAATTCAAGTTTATTTGTACAGCGCTTTTCACGAAGGGTTAACACTGCAAATACGGAGTCTTTGCATAAACTTATTGTAATTGTCAATAAAAGCCTTTGACACGTCTGAAATTATTGTAATTATACTTCAGTAGGCCTATACCATAGTAACATCTGACAAAAGATCTAAAAACACTGAAACAGCAGACTTTGTGAAAATTAATATTTGTCATTCTCAAAACTTTTGGCCTCGGCTGTATATAAGTGTTTATATGAATGTTGGTTGTCCTTTATGCCACCATCATTTTGAATAATTTCTCAAATCTTTCCAAGAAAATTAATAAAAGTACTATCTAAAAGAAAACTAATATTTTAGTTTCACTTCACGTTTTTATACAGTCTATGGTTTTCTCCCTGCATTTTAAGTTGAAAGTAAAGGTCCAGCAAATTGATCCTGATAGTAAACATGGGTCCTTCACATTCTGCACATGTGCTGGGGGAAAAAATGATAGGCCTACGTCCCGCCCATTCAACGGTTATTGGCACCGGCATCCTGATTCAAACCGCCCGCTTAATTGTCGATCCGTGTCATCGTTACCCAGCCAATGTGAGAGAGTTGTCGAGGAGAAATCCCCGCCGTGTGTGTGTCAAAAAACAGACGCCTCGCCCCTCTAGTTTTATACATACCAATTTTCACTCTCCCTTTCGTTTCGGTTTTGATGGTACGACCTGCGCACTACACAAGCGCGAACGAATCGTTCATGTGAGTCGGATCTTTTTAATGAATCAGTTGAACGGCTTCCCAAAACATTTGAGAGCAATTCGTTAGGGATAGTTCACCAAAAAATGAAAATTGTCATCATTTACTCACCCCTTTGATTAATTTGATTGATTTATTAATTAATGATTGATTTTAGTATTCTTTAATAAAGCAATAAGCCCCAAGAAGCTGTGGTTTACAGTGAATTTAATAATAATGTGCATTTGATCAGATATAACTGCAGTACAAGATTATGAGATTCATTATTTGAATGCTTGGCCAAAGAGATGAGTCTTTAATCTAGATTTAAACAGAGACTTGATTTGGACCCCGAACGTTATCAGGAAGGCCATTCCAGAGTTTGGGAGCCAAATGCGAACATGGACGAGTGGACGCCAGTGAGCGTTCGGTGACGTAAAAGACTCGTTTGAGCCGGGTTGTTTTTTTTTTGTTTTTTTTACAAGAATTGTTCAAAAGAACCGATTCGAAGAAATGAATCGGGCCTCCCACCACCAGCACACATATACACACACTCGGGCGCATTTTTTTTTCATCGTGAGCCGGTCAAGATGGCGGCGGCACTGCCAAAACGGAGCAGCCGCTCGGCTTAATCGATCATTTTCTCTAAATCACCGGGGCAGATCGGATTCAAACCGACCAAATCGCTCGGCACAACTGTGTTAAATCACCCGCAGCCTGCGATATCCAACGTGAGATCCTGTCGCGTTAAACCCGGTGTTTTTTCACGGAAATGCTCTTACTCTAGTTTGTGTCTCGTCCATTAACTGTTTTGGGGAGAATGGGAGAAAAGCTGGAGTTAAAACTGAAGTCGCCGGTCGGAGCCGAAGCTGCAGGCTATCCGTGGCCCTTACCTGTATATGTAAGTACTATCAGTATTATTGTTTTAATACAAACCGAAACAAACACCGGGATTCCCTTGCGATAAAGCGAAGTGGGTCATGTAGGCAGAGAATAACGTGTATCTTAACGAGTACTTGGTGTGCATAGTGTGTGAATGTCTTGTTTTTTTTTTTTTAATGTGCTTGTTTCAATATTGGTGTTATAGGAACCAAAAACCGCTTAAAATTGGGACATGAGAGTGTCAGTACATCCTAAAAGGGTTGAATATATCCTAAATGTTGAATATATCCTAAACGTGTATCTGTTCATAAAGGTGTTCTGAAGACCACTAAACATTAGACTTGAAATGACATAATCGTTTTGTTAAAAAAAAGAAAGAAATCTGTTATCACCTCAGCTAATATTAATATTTGAATCGCAGGAAATACACACTGTGTGTAGCCTGCTGACCCAGTTGGCCATCTCGTACAGTGGTTGTTTCAAATCCTCGTAAGCTGTCTGCCTAGGCAACATGTTTATACTGGCTAAGTAGTTCTAATGCGATTGAACGCGTAAATAAAAACAAAATGCGTCTTTGCTGTGATTCAAATCTTTTGAATTTGAATTATTTTCATTTGTCAATGACCCTTTTTGGAGGTTATATTTATTATGCCAATTAGTTTACAAGCGGGTTTATTCTTGGATGTTATAAGCAAGTCATAAAATTATTCACTCAACCGATTCTTTATACAAATACCGAAACAAGTCTTACGTCATTTATTAAAATATTTTGTATTTATCATACGCTTGAGTTAACTTAAACACGAGCGAAATATTTCGCTTACTAGGTAGGCAGCTCACGAGAGTTTGAGACACCGCCGCAAACCAAAACCTGCTATAGCAGAGAGAGTGTATAACACTTATTAATTTACCTCAGAAACGCAAGGTTGTTGACGAACAAACTGTTTAAACGTCAATTAATGCACATATTCAGCCTGAAACGATAGTTTGTATGACTCTGCATTTAATTAATGTTTCTGGAGGCTGAAATTCACGTTAGCCGTCATGCTAACAGTCAGATAGCAGGGCTAGCTAACTTTATCGTTTTTTTACCCAACACTAACTGTCGTCAAACTCTAGATAACTTAAACATTTTAAATATCTGCCATAAGTGTGTGTGCAGAACTGTAGTGGATACATTAGGGTGAAATAAGCTTCGTGCCGGCTAAATATCACACGGAGGGTGTTAAACAAAAGGCGAGTAGTGCACTAGGCGAGAGGACGGTATCTCCATATTGTTAGTGTGTTTTATTGACATCTTTTGTTTGTGTCTCTAAAAACTGTGTTTTTCACAGTTTTGATGTTTCCTTTACGCTGTTTTGCGGTTGTATCTTTCTAGGATGGACCGCATATAACATTTGGGATCTTTTGAAGTATTGTGTACTGTTCTGGAAGTGTCAAATTTGTCACTGATGTCTAAAAAACGGGTTTGCTCGTTTGGCAGCCCTTACATTGGGATAGTGCTGTGTTTTGGTTACCATTTGGATACATCCTGAAAGGGACAGTGTTATAATGTAGCCTGTATGGCTGACATTTCTTGAAAAACAAGCTAGTATGCAGGATTCTCTAGGAAGTTTGGCAATAACTGACTTTTTAGTGGTTACTAGGGGGTTGTAAAGCCTGCTGGACTTGAATATTGGCTTTTTAAAGTTGCTTTCTAGCATATATATTATTATTGAAGATTATTACACATTGAATGTACTCCCAACTCTTAGTATTAAATATTTAGTGCATTATTTATCCTGTACTGTTGTACTAAAAACAAGAATGACACCATTTTATTTTTCTAAAGGCCCAAGTATACCTTGTTTTTTACATGTTCGCTATAAAGGTTCATCATTTCATCCTGATATGACCTATCTTTGTACTCATTTAAAGTAGAGTTGTGTGAATTTCTGAACCCCTCATACAAGCGCGGGAGTCTGTTGTCGTTCTGTTTCTTTTTTGAAAGTGAAAGAACATTCAACGTCAGTGTTGCCACCATGTTGAATAGCTAATCAGTGCAGAAAAATCAATATGGGAAGCCCGAAAAATTGCTAAGTGCTCACTGCAGAGATGAATGGGTGGAGCTTGACCTAGTCTAGCCCCGCCTCTGTGGACCTAATGGGTGTAGATTGACCTAGTTGACAAGTCTTACGTCATTTATTAAAATATTTTGTATTTATCATACGCTTGAGTTAACTTAAACACGAGCGAAATATTTCGCTTACTAGGTAGGCAGCTCACGAGAGTTTGAGACACCGCCGCAAACCAAAACCTGCTATAGCAGAGAGAGTGTATAACACTTATTAATTTACCTCAGAAACGCAAGGTTGTTGACGAACAAACTGTTTAAACGTCAATTAATGCACATATTCAGCCTGAAACGATAGTTTGTATGACTCTGCATTTAATTAATGTTTCTGGAGGCTGAAATTCACGTTAGCCGTCATGCTAACAGTCAGATAGCAGGGCTAGCTAACTTTATCGTTTTTTTACCCAACACTAACTGTCGTCAAACTCTAGATAACTTAAACATTTTAAATATCTGCCATAAGTGTGTGTGCAGAACTGTAGTGGATACATTAGGGTGAAATAAGCTTCGTGCCGGCTAAATATCACACGGAGGGTGTTAAACAAAAGGCGAGTAGTGCACTAGGCGAGAGGACGGTATCTCCATATTGTTAGTGTGTTTTATTGACATCTTTTGTTTGTGTCTCTAAAAACTGTGTTTTTCACAGTTTTGATGTTTCCTTTACGCTGTTTTGCGGTTGTATCTTTCTAGGATGGACCGCATATAACATTTGGGATCTTTTGAAGTATTGTGTACTGTTCTGGAAGTGTCAAATTTGTCACTGATGTCTAAAAAACGGGTTTGCTCGTTTGGCAGCCCTTACATTGGGATAGTGCTGTGTTTTGGTTACCATTTGGATACATCCTGAAAGGGACAGTGTTATAATGTAGCCTGTATGGCTGACATTTCTTGAAAAACAAGCTAGTATGCAGGATTCTCTAGGAAGTTTGGCAATAACTGACTTTTTAGTGGTTACTAGGGGGTTGTAAAGCCTGCTGGACTTGAATATTGGCTTTTTAAAGTTGCTTTCTAGCATATATATTATTATTGAAGATTATTACACATTGAATGTACTCCCAACTCTTAGTATTAAATATTTAGTGCATTATTTATCCTGTACTGTTGTACTAAAAACAAGAATGACACCATTTTATTTTTCTAAAGGCCCAAGTATACCTTGTTTTTTACATGTTCGCTATAAAGGTTCATCATTTCATCCTGATATGACCTATCTTTGTACTCATTTAAAGTAGAGTTGTGTGAATTTCTGAACCCCTCATACAAGCGCGGGAGTCTGTTGTCGTTCTGTTTCTTTTTTGAAAGTGAAAGAACATTCAACGTCAGTGTTGCCACCATGTTGAATAGCTAATCAGTGCAGAAAAATCAATATGGGAAGCCCGAAAAATTGGTAAGTGCTCACTGCAGAGATGAATGGGTGGAGCTTGACCTAGTCTAGCCCCGCCTCTGTGGACTTAATGGGTGTAGATTGACCTAGTTGTGTTTAGTGATTGGGATATGTTTAGGGCTACAGTGTAATTGGACCTTTAAGCTCCACTCATTATGTCCAGAGAGGTGGAGCTGTACATCAAGCCCCGGTCATTGGCTTCCTTGTGAGCAACTTCTCAAAAATTGCGTACTATGCTGATGGCGAAATTATGGTACATGTGAAAACCTTGGACTTTTATGATCAGGCTTGTGGTTTTTTGGTAGAAGATAAAACTGGAAAAAAAACATTGTATATTAGTATTGAAACACAGATTCGGAAATGTAGAGTTGCGAATATCATGGAGACTTGATGGTGGGGGGCTCTTAAACACTGTAGCAATGCCCTGGCAACCACCCAAAACGCCCTAGCATTTTGGCGACAAGCTGTTTTCCATTGACTTTTTCTTTTGAAAATGTATTCATCTAGTTTCTACGATTATTGTGCCCTAAATGGTGACAAAAAGGCTTGTTTGGAGTCGTATCATCCATTCTGAGTCAGACACTGTTCGTCTGTCTGTGTTGTTTCTGAAATCATACAGTCGTTGCATATGTACAGTAATCATAACACACAGATTCCACGCTGTGATTAACTCCAGTGATGCTGAGCTGCTGAATCGTTTGACAGTGGGACGAGACCCCCCATAAAACACACATATGCACTGCTATTTACCCTGTTATAGCAGGCAGTTTGAGTAATATTTAGGACCTAAGAGATGAGGAAATGTCTTCATGTTCAGTGTAACTAAAGAAAATACAAGACGGGGTTATTTATTTCAATATTTTATTACGAGAATGTGTTCGGAAAGTCCTCACGTCATCCGAAAGTTCACATTTCTCACGCCACCAAAGTTGCCAACGCTGTTTCGGTCGTAGACGGAAATGGGGGGGGGGTGCAGATCAAAGCCTGTGGTTTCCACAGAAACGGCTGTCTCATTTGTCCCTCCCGATGTTTAATATACTACGATTCATGCTCTTTTACACAAACCGAGAATGTGGGTTTCTCAGAAGCGTAGGTTATTTTCAGAGCTGCTGCATCACTGAAAACTCCAGTCTCTTTCGTTTGTCATTCAGCTAGAAGTGTAGTAGTCGTGACCTCAGCCGTTTTACTGTCTCGCTTGGCCTCAGATGACTTCCGTTTTTGACTTTGGCTGATAAGGGATGGATGCCCCACCTACTGAGAGCCATATTTCTGACCTGCTGTTGGGTAAACAGAGTTACAGAGCACCCACGTTTGGCGAGCTGTAGACGTGCCTTGCAAATTTTTGTTTAGGGAGGGGTGGATTCTGTTAATTAGGGAGTCTTGGGCGGTGGTTATCCACATGCACTGGTGATTTAGACTTCCCTTACAGGATAAGTTCATTTGGTCACCTTCATGTTGTTCCAAGCCCATATGACTAGCTTTCTTTTGAGGATCACAAAAAGAGATGTTTGGCAGAATGTTCACGCTGCTTTTTTTCTGTACAGTGAAAGTGAATGGAGATGAGCCAGTTATTTTTAGTGAATCAAAAATATACAGCACGATCAGTGTATACATCCTGATTCCCAATCAAAATGTTCTTATGAGCTGATTCTTTTTAGTGAATAAAAAATATACAGCACTACCAGTGTAGCCTGATTCACAAACAAATGACTATTTTGAGCTGATTCTTTTTAGTGAATCATAAATATACAGAATGACCAGTGTATCCTGATTCCTAAACAAATGACTCTTTTGAGCTGATTCTTTTTAGTGAATCAAAAATATACAGCACTACCATTGTATCCTGATTCCCGAAACAAATTATTCTTACGAGCCGTTTCTTTTTACTAATTCCAACATAAAAGAAAAGAATGACATTTCTTTTTAGTGAATCAAGAACATACAGCCAAGGTTAAATTAACAGTTCAAGAACGTGATCTGAATCTACTCTATAAAATTTACAGCATTTGAAGAAAGAGAATTTCTTTTGTGTTATAAAAATGGACATTTAGCTGAACTGTACCAAACTGAATCAAGAGCTTGTGAATACCTTACCCTAGTCTCCATTCACATTCATTGTATGGAAAAGAGCAGCGTGCACATTCTACAAAACCTCTCCTTTTGTGCTGCTCAGAACAAATAAAGTTATACAGGTTAGAAACATTACACAAGTGAATAAATGATGACAAAAATCCTCATTCTTGGGCGAATTAACCCTTTAAACACCCCAGACGTGGGAAAAAAAATGAGGAAAGGTGAGAAACTGAAGTGCTGCGTTTTTCCTCTCCCTGCTTTAAAATATTTCTTGCTTCTATTCGAGGTTACGGTGTGTTTTACAAAGGACCAAAAGCCCTCCATTCATTCGAATCTTGTTTTTCAGAGACTCAACCAAGTGATTTTTCCTCTCCCGCTGTTGCCGGCTCCTTGTCCACTAGCGTGCCATTTTGCCTCACGGCTTCACATTGTGCTCCAAACAAAAGCATCCCACTCACCTGGGGTGGGAGGAAGGAGAGGGTTTTTATCGAACACTGAGCTTCACTGTTTTCTGTCTTCCCTACGCTCCTATAACCTACGTATCCGGCCACATTTACATCCCATATCTGGAAACTGGCCTGTAATTGCTTCCATATGAAAGCGTCAATTCCTTAAACTTGGCTACAAAATGATTCATTCGGAGTATGAGGAATTACAGTCGAACACACCTCACAGTTCGACCGTTACGACCCGGTTAAACCCGTCAATACACAAAGGTGTGGCGTTTTGCCACCCCGGCCAAAATGAACAGTTGTGCAGTGAGGATGAGTGTTCACGAGGCGTGATTTTATTTTTCTTTTTTTCTCCACCTCCCTCCGTGAGTCACGTCAAGGGTGCGTGAGGTGAACGAAGAGCCTGTTTTTGTGCTCGTGAGTCAAGCCTGCTCGTGACCGAGGGCTGTCGTGCTTTATTTTTTGCTCTCTGTCATCCTCCCCTCTTTCCTATGGATATTTTTAGCTGTGGCGCTGGTGTTGCTGTGTGCCGGAACACCCTGTACACGCGCGCTGCCCCCCTCCTCTCGATGCGCTGAAGTGTCTGCTTGTGCACGTACACACTCTGCCATCTGTCTTAGCGTTTGCATATAACGCAATATTGAAATAACGGCGCATCCCTGCTTTAAATAAGTGCCCTTGTTTGGCCTCGGACTATGGCTGCATTATTTCCCAGTCCTGTGACGCCGCCTCAGAGCTGCAGGGGTGGGCAGAAGAGCACGAGACCCGCCGTACATGCAGCTGAGCGGGAAAACGGCTAGGAGGAGCTTAGCGAGGCAGAGGAGCCCAGCAGCGGCACACTCAGGCAGGCAGAGGGCTTCTCAGGACTCTGTTGACGGAAAGTGGGTCACTGGGTCAGGCAGCAGCAGAGCTCCAGCGGCAGGCCGGAGCGAGTTCGGTAGGGTCACATCCACATGTTAGACGCAATCCGGGGTTAATTAGCCTTGATAATTATTCATATTGACCTCAGAGCTCTTAAAGGGCCAGAGTTACAAATTTTTAAGTGCAGCACAGTCATGTGTGATGGCTTTCGGGCTTTTGTGTGTGTAAAGCAACAGTTTTGATAGTTGAAATTAAAAAATATATAAATATTAGACAGAAATTAGAAATGTTGCTGCTGTTGGCGCTGATGGCCTCGTGGGGCTTTGTGCTTCGGGCGTCCCAAGTTTGAGTCCTGCCTCTAAATAAAGGCATAAAACGGCAAAAATAAATCTTAAAAAAAAAGAAACATTGCTTCTAACTGAAATGTTACTAAAACTGATATAAACATAACATTTATTTAAGAAGAAAAAAATCCTTGTTAATGTTTAACACCAAGTTTGGTAATTGACAAGCTGAAATAAAATATATAAATATGAGATAAAATACACAAGCTTAAAGGGATAGTTCACCCAAAAATGAAAATTCTGTCATTAATTACTCGCCCTCATATCGTTCCAAACCTGTAAGACCTTCGTTCATCTTCGGAACACAAATTAAGATATTTTTGATGGAATCCGAGAGCTCTCTGACCCTCCATAGACAGCAAGGATATTACCACGATCAAGGTCCAGAAACGTAGCAAGGAGATCGGTAAAATAGTCCATGTGACATCAGGGATTGAACCGTCATTTTACGAAACTACGCGATTACTTTTTGTGCGCAAAAAAACAAACAATAATGACATAATTTATTCTGAATAAATTGTTATTATTGTTTTCTCATTTCTTTTTATTGTGACTCACTTCTTTTTGCTTGTGTTTTGTAAATAGGGCCCATTTTCTTTTGCACGCACAACGTTTGTGCTAAGATGCTGTAGATTATGCTGTGCATTCATATACTGTAATACACAGGATCAGTGTCAGCTTATAGTGACATAATGTACTTATGCAGCCATGTGTGCCCAATTAACTTGTTCACCTGCTTGAAGGCACACTGGCTGCTGCGTGTGCAGGAATGTGCTACAGTTGTGATCTGTGAACCGTCACAAACTGGAAAGGTCAAGATTCTGTTGTAGTTGTAGAAGCTTGTTTCTTGTAGATGGATAACTACATGCCTACATGAGTAGTCTGGCGAGTAAGTAAAACATTAATTTTGGACTTTGCTTATAACTCAGAATTTCTTTCATCTCCACAGGATAAACATCATGATGCTGCACATGAAATCATCGAAACTATTCGGTAAGTTTGGTTTGATTTTGCTGTTATGTTTGTCTGCTCTTCAAGTTTTATATGCATAATTAAAACATGTCTCTTCTCTTTGTCCAGCTGGGTGTGTGAAGAGATCCCAGATCTTAAGCTGGCCATGGAGAACTATGTTCTTATCGACTACGACACCAAGAGGTGAGGAAATTGTCACAAATTGGTCTCATAAGATTTGGTCGATTAGGTATCATTGGAAAATGACGCCTAAAAATAATTAATAATAATAAAAAAATTTAATAATAATATTTTATTTAATTATATTACATCTATTTATTTATAAAAATTGTTTAATTATTATTATTATTAACAATAATATTTGTTAATAGTTATTAATAGTTGTTTTTATTTAAAGTATTAATTTATCATTATTATTATTATTATTATTATTATTATAAAAAATGGCATTTGTACATGCTAATGAAACAATTAAATACAAGTTTTGTGAAAGATATGAAATGAAAAGAGCTTCAAAAAATATTACAAATTAAATACTTGTAATTACACTCTTAATTTTTTATTTAGAATATTTAACTGAAATATCATGCATCAATTTATTAGTTGTACTACGATTGCTAGTTATATGAAAGTTGATATTATGAAATAAGAAGCTTCACAGAATATTACTAATTAAATTATAATTATTTATTATATACTATTTAATAGAATTATCATGAATCTTTTATTTATTTATACTTTTAGTAATTTTGTAAAAGTTGATATGAAGTGACAAAAGCTTCACAAAATATTACCAATTAAATATTTTTAACTTATTTCTACTTCATTTTAAATATATTAAATATTTAATGAAAGTGTGATGAATCATTGATTTTATTATATACAGTCCAAATAGGATATATTAGCTGGAATATATTGCTACTCTTTTGCTTTTCTTGTATCTGAGCACAGCCTCATGGTTTATTATGAGGTAAGAGATTTCATAGATAATTTTTATTTTTGTTGTTTTTTGCAGCTTTGAGAGTATGCAGAGACTATGTGATAAGTACAACAGAGCCATTGAAAATATCATGCATCAATTTATTAGTTGTACTACGATTGCTAGTTATATGAAAGTTGATATTATGAAATAAGAAGCTTCACAGAATATTACTAATTAAATTATAATTATTTATTATATACTATTTAATAGAATTATCATGAATCTTTTATTTATTTATACTTTTAGTAATTTTGTAAAAGTTGATATGAAGTGACAAAAGCTTCACAAAATATTACCAATTAAATATTTTTAACTTATTTCTACTTCATTTTAAATATATTAAATATTTAATGAAAGTGTGATGAATCATTGATTTTATTATATACAGTCCAAATAGGATATATTAGCTGGAATATATTGCTACTCTTTTGCTTTTCTTGTATCTGAGCACAGCCTCATGGTTTATTATGAGATGATAATAGATTTCATAGATAATTTTTATTTTTGTGTTGTTTTTTGCAGCTTTGAGAGTATGCAGAGACTATGTGATAAGTACAACAGAGCCATTGACAGCATTCACCAACTGGTACGTCAAGTCTTTTTTTGCGAAAAACTGATTTTTTGTTTTTCCAAACGTGTAAAACTCTGTGTTTGTGTGTTGCAGTGGAAAGGGACCACCCAACCCATGAAACTCAACAAGCGGCCTTCCAACGGCCTGCTGCGTCACATCCTACAGCAGGTCTACAACCACTCCGTCACCGACCCAGAGAAACTCAACAACTACGAGCCGTTCTCTCCCGAGGTGTACGGAGAGACCTCCTTCGACCTGGTAGCTCAGATCATTGATGAGATGGAGATGATAGAAGACGACACCTTCGTGGATCTGGGCAGTGGTTAGTAACATCTGTTATTGAAGGCCTATTCTATGGTGGTCCTGAAGTGCAAATGAAATTCACAAATCAGAAAACTCAACGGTGAATTGAAAAACACTGCAAATTCGCTACCATAATTGGTTTAAACAAGTCTTGATTAGCAGTTTCAGGGTGTTTTCACGCCTGTCTTGTTTGGTTCGATTGAATCGAACTCAAGTTTGTTTCCCCCCTTGGTGCGGATCTTTTGGGCAGGTGTGAATACAGCAATCGCACTCGGGTGCGGGCCAAACAGCCGTACCGAGACCCAGCTGAAGAGGTGGTCTCGGTCCGCTTCGAAACAAACTCTGGTACGGTTGAATGGATAAACCAATGAATGGATGACCTTAAGCACACGTGTGGTTTTGTTTATAGTTTCTGGTTCACTTGCAAAAAGGGCAGTGTGAATGCGAACAGCACCAAACAAAAAAAATAAACTTTGTATTTGGTCCGGAACAAAGCAAGTGAACTAGCGGACTTTCCTGGTGTGAATACACCCTAAGATTGAAATTTCATCAAAAATGCACAGCTGTTTGGAAAACGCAACAGCAAATTCGCTAACATGATTGGTATAAATGAGTTTTGATTAGCGATATAAGATTGAAAGTTCATCAAAAATGCACAGCTATTTGGAAAACTCGAGAAAATTCATGACTTTAATTGATATAAACGGATCTTTACTAGCAGTTTAAGAGTGAATTTCCAATAAAACACCACAGCAATTTGGAAGCTTACCTTTAAAGGGGTCATATGATGCGATTTCAAGTTTTCCTTTCTCTTTGGAGTGTTACAAGCTGATTGTGCATAGATAAGATCCCTGAAGTTGCAAAGACTAAAGTCTCAAAACCAAAGAGATATTCTTTATCAAAGTTAAGACTCTGCCACGCCCCCCTAAAACGGCTCGTTCTAACACGCCCCCACATATCTACCTCACTATGTGGAAATATTTGCATAATGCCGCCCAAATGTGCACGCAAAGAAAGAAGGCGTGGTTTCAGTAACCGCAGTTAGTGTTGATGCAGTCATGTCAGGGAGACGCTGTGTGTTTCTAGGCGAAAGCAAAAACACTTTATTTGGCCTTCCGGAAGTAGATGCATTTAGGAATCTTTAAGATTACTTACAACAGAACAGCAATGCATTTTATGGACGACCGTTTCGTGAACCTAGGAGAGGAGGTAATTCTGACTTTGCTATGACAATCTGGCGCTTCTGAATCAGCTACTGTTTTGTTATTAGTTTAAGTATTTGCTATTGACTGTTCAAATGCAAAGTTTTGCGCATCGTGTGTGTGTGTGTGCGTGCGTGCGCGCGCGCGCGTGTGAGAGAGAGAGAGAGAGAGAGACAGCGTCACATCACAGTAGAGTCAGCTGTCTTAACCGCGGCTTGTGTACTGCAAACACATACCAGCTTCATCACTGTGTCTGTCACGAGACTCTGTTCCCCTTTCGGGCTCTGTCTTTACATTTATTTTGAAAGATGAAGCTCACGATTATGGTAAGGGGCGTTACATTTCCGACGAGTGCTTGCGGTGTTCGGCCAATCACAATGCACTGGGTCAGCTGGCCAATCAGAGCAGACTGCGCTTGTCAGAAGGAGGGACTTTGTAGAAAACGAAGCGTTTGAGAGAGGCGGGGCATAGAGGACCTACAATAATGTACAGTATTTGAAAAATAATGTGTTTTTTTAACATTAAAGCATGTCAACATATTCTGTTACACCAAATACACAAAATAATGATCTTTAAAAAAGCATCATATGACCCCTTTAAGATAATAAAAATAGAAGAGCGCATTGGAAAATGCAACTGGGAATCAGAAAACACAACTCAAAATTTACCGCCATGTAAACCGATCTTGATTACCAGTTTAAGATTGAAAGCTCATTTTATGTGACATACAGTGTCGTCTTGGCTTGATATGCAGGAGTTGGTCAGGTAGTCCTGCAAGTCGCTGCAGCCACCAACTGTAAACACTACTACGGCGTGGAGAAAGCAGACACTCCAGCAACCTATGCAGAGGTACCAACAGGAAGCCAACATTAAACACTCCATATACACTCCGACTTCTTGAGTCTGCCTCAAAGTGTATGTTTTGCACTAATATTTATGTCTGAATGTGTTTACAGTCAATGGACAAGGAGTTTAAGAGATGGATGAAGTGGTATGGCAAAAAACATGGCGAGTACACGGTAAGTGTGTGTTCGTTTATTATAACAGATGTTATTACTTCATTATTGTGACTGAAGGAATGAAGTCTATACATACTGATGTTGTTTGGTCTTGTGCGGCAGCTGGAAAGGGGAGATTTCCTTTCAGAAGAATGGAGGGAACGAATAGCCAACACAAGGTGTGATCACATACAGACTAGTTAGATGCTTATAACCAGTTAACATTTTTCAGATTTTTTTTGATTTGTCATAATTTCTTCAACCGTTTGTGTGTTGCTTATTCGTCTTGTATAAGTCTATAGTCTGATGTGCTCTTTTACAGTGTTATTTTTGTGAATAACTTTGCCTTTGGTCCTGAGGTGGACCACCAGCTGAAGGAACGATTCGCCAACATGAAGGAAGGTACGTGGTGTCATGTGATTTAAAAAAAGTTAACTAAATAATAAGTAGGGCTGCACAGTCGATCAGTCAAATTGAAAAGCATGAGAGATGGTGTAATTCTCTTTGTGTAAAATGTTTTTAATCAATTCAAATCACAATATTAATCGCATTTGACCATTTTGTGCAGCCCTAACATGAAGTAAATGGCACTTGGCTGCTAACATTTGAAAAAGAAGGGGGTCTGTGTCAGTGTAGCTCAAAAGCACCTGTGTCAACATGTCGTTCTTGACCTTTGACCCCAGTCAGGCTTGTTTTTTGGTTCGCATTCATCTGCAGATGTTGAGGGGATGATATGTGTTTAGGTTTTCGCCTCTCTGTTACTTGGGAGTGTTTTGATTCAATTTCGTCTCTGGTAGGTGGAAAAATTGTATCCTCAAAACCTTTTGCACCTCTTAACTTCAGAATAAACAGTCGAAACTTGAGTGGTAAGTATAAAACTTTGTACGTCAGGTTTCTCTTACAAAAGATGGTACTATACAATAACTGCCATTAACTTTAAAGATGTATTTCTTTAGTACCATGGTAATACCATGGTAAAGGTAAACGTTAAGATGCGGTCAAAGTTAACGTTGTTTGGCGAAATTTCACAGGTTAAATCCAGTCATTCTGAAAGGAATCTCCACGATCGTGAGTGTGGAAAAGTTGGTCATATGTCTTAAAGGGATTGTTCACCCAAAAATGAAAATTCTGTCGTCATTTATCTCATGTTGTTCCAAACCTGTATGAGTTGCTTTCTTATGTTGAACACAAAAGAAGATATTTTGAAGATTGCTGGTAATCAAACAGTTGGTGGTTGCCATTGACTTCCATAGTAGGAAAAAAAATACTATGGAAGTCAAAGGCAACCACCAACTGTTTGATTACCAGCAATCTTCAAAATATCTTCTTTTGTGTTCAACATAAGAAAGCAACTCATACAGGTTTGGAACGACATGAGGGTGAGTAAATTATGGCAATGTTCATTTTTGGGTGAACTATCCCTTTAATGCAAGTGTTTTTTCGAGCAAAATTTCACTAATGCGTAAAAATTTTGCGACAAAAATTTTACAGTGTCAATAGTGTAGTAATGTATGAAGCAACACTCACATAGAAGTCCAACCAAGCAGCTTTCTGTTAGCCAACGTGGCAAATTCGTGTGAAAAATCTGCGTAGGAAAGAGTTTCACCTTTACGTGAAATTCCCAGTTGTACAGATGTACAGAATTATACAAATTTTGCAGAGCAATGTAAATATGACCGCACCTTTCCAATGTTTAATGGTCTTTATTGTGTTTGTTTTTAGATATTGGCACAATAATGAGAGTAGTTGAGCTGTCTCCTCTGAGGGGATCGGTTTCGTGGACGGGGAAGCCAGTGTCGTACTATCTGCATACGATAGACCGCACCATAGTAAGTGCCCTTTCATTTGTGTCACATGGGTTTCGTTGTTCCTCTTGGTGTACAATGGGTCTCTTATTTGCATTAGCTATTATTGTTAGGCAAATGACGTTGAGTGTGGCTTTGTGAGCATCACATGTACTGATATCTAACAAATATTTTTTTTCTTGCAGCTTGAAAACTATTTTTCTAGTCTCAAAAATCCTAAACTCAGGGTAAGACTTGTTTGGTTCTCATGTTGTTTATGGGTTTTTGGACAAAATATCAAGCTAGATCTCTTCCCACAACACACGTAGCTTGTTTTTGGTTCCAGGAGGAGCAGGAGGCAGCCAGAAGGCGCCAGCAGAAGGACAGTAAGGAGAATAAGAGCAACACCACCACCCCGACTAAGCCCAAGGAGCACAAGGTAGACCTAGAGGAGTTACTCGTTTATTTATTTTAATTAATTCATTTTATTCACTCACACACACACACACACACACATATATACATACAGAAGTTTTTCGGAGTCTGCCAAGTTTTCAGCTCTGGAGAGAGGCAGAGTGTTATGAAATCATCTCGCAAATGTACATCTCAGGAGTTCATGTAGGCCTGCCGAACCAATTAGGTCAACACCTTTCAAAAATATATATATATATATATATATATATATATATATTATATATATCAATTGATCAATATTTTATTATATTTTTTTCAGTATTTTGTTTTCAATTTATATATTATTTTTTTGTATTTATTTAAAAAATATTTATTATAAATTATTTTATTGTAAATTATGATTTTGTTTAATAATTACATTTCTAAATAAATTATGTATTAATTTTAATTTTATGCATTTTAAATGTTTTTAATACATTTATTAATACATTTATATATAGATATATTAAATTAATAATTTTGTACATTTATGAATTTATTTTAAATGTATTTATTCATAAACTTTTTATTTACCTATTTAATTTTACATTTATTTATTTAGAATTATTTAGAATTTCTTTATTTTTATATTATTATTATTTTAAATTATTTTGTTTAATTACTTTTGTAATGAAAGTGTATTTTAATTGTATTTATTTTAAATGTATTTACTTATACATTTATATTTATTTAAAGATTTATGAATCTGTTTTACATTTATTTATTTTAAGTTTTTCCTTTTCTATAAATTAAATTTCTGCCCAAGGAGCACAATGTAGACCTATAGCAATCACGTTTATTTCAAGTTTATCTATTTGTTTATTCATTTGAAATCTATTTATGCGTTTGTTTTAAATTTCCATATTAATAAATATATTTATTTTAAATTATTATTAATGTTTTTAATTAATAAAATTTCTGCTTAAGGAGCACAAGGTAGACCTACAGGAATCACTTTTATTTATGTATTCATCTATGTACTTTACGTTTATACATTTAAAATGTATTTATATAAATATAACTTATTTGTATTTAATTGAAAATCTCTTTACCTTGTGCACCAGGCGCAGCATGACTTTGGTGGTGAGGAGGAGCGCTCAAACTCGCTCGTGCCAGTGAAACCGTCACCCAAACCCCGCCGGGCCAAACTGCTGCCCAGGGGCCGCAAGCTCGGCAACAGGAAGCGCGGGCGGCCTAAGAAGGCTGCCGCTGCCACCGCAGCCGAGCGCAAGAACAAGAAGAGCCAGATCGCCCTTGATCTGCTGCACGCCAAGACCCTCTCAGCGGCCCCCCCTCAAGGTGAGACACTTGCCTAAAACCGGCACGCCTTTGATGGCTATTTATCAGAATCAGAACCTTTGACATTGACTTTTGTGGTTTGGTTCAATCCGTAGATGCATACAGGTCACCTCGGAGTCCTTTCTATCAGCTACCTCCCAAAGTGCAGCATTATACATCAAGCCAGCTTCTCATGGGCCCCACTCCACCAGGCCTGCAGGCTCTGCTCGGTACGTTCTGCTCTCCTTTCATATTTAACATGAGGAGATCCATTTCAGTCCCACAGACATGCTCATGTATCTGCTCTAGTTACACAGTCAATCACCCAGTTAACATAAACCACCTCGCTCTTGCTCTAGATAACGTGAAAGTCCAGTACCTGCAGTTCATGGCCTACATGAAGACACCACAGTACCGGACCAACCTGCAGCAAGCCCTTGAGCAGGAAAAGGTGAATCTGTCTTCTTAGTGTGTGTATATATTACTAATGATAAACATTGTTAATAACTTTAAAATAACAAATTAATAAAACTAGTATTATAAATTAATTAATCAAGTAATATGTAATTTTATATATATATATATATATATATGTATGTGTAATTTTAACTGTATTAATTATTAATAATCTCCATTATAATTAATAATAATAAAATGAATAAAATAAAATTGTATGCATAATGCTAATATTGTTATTGTTATTTATTAATTTTATTTGCTTAATAATAATAGACACAATAATGAATTAATTCATGAGAAAATATTTTAGATATTTAAATATACAATTTATAAATTATTGCAAAAATTGTGTATTTTATTTTATTTTAAAAATGCCATAAATTGAATTTGTAAAAATATTTTAAAATATTTGTTTAATAACAATACTACTAGATTGTAGAAATAATAATTGAGAAAAAGTATTTGTATATATTTAAATAAATATTTGTGTTATTTATAAATTACTGTGAAAAATATTTTAGTTTATATATACATAAACACAAAAAGAAAATTTAAAATGTTTTTTTTTTTATTTGTGTATGTTCTTTATTATAACCTATTAATTAATTAACTAACAGTATTCAGTATTTCCACAGTTTTGTGAATTTGTGAGCTCAGAAAATATATGGACTTTATGGTTTTGTCATAACATTATTGTTTTTAATAATATTATTAGAAATAATAATAATTAGTGAAGATATTTTAGATATTTAAATGTATAATATATATGTTATTATAAAAATGTTGTATTGTCAGTTTAAATTTTTCAATTTTAAAAATGACATGTATTTTATTTAAAATATTTGTTTAAAAACAATACTATAAGTAATAGAAATAATAATACATTAATGAGAAAACAAAATAGTTTTATATATTTAAATATAATTATTTTTGTTATTTATAAATTATTGTGAAAATTATATTTTACTTTGTTTGTTTTGCTTTATAAACACTAATAAAAAAGAACAACTGAAAATAAATTTCTGAATTTTATAAATATAAATGTCAAATGTATTATAATTTGTTAACTAATTAGCAGTATGTTTTCCCCAGTTTTGTGAATTTGTGAGCTCAGAAAATATATGGACTTTATGGATTTGTCATAACATTATTGTTTAACTTTTCTCTCCCCGTGTCTTGTGTCACAGCTGAGACACACAGAACTGTCCGGTCAAGCCCAGCAGCTGCTCAACACTTGTCACACTCATAAGGAGAGGATCAGAGACCTTTTCCAGTCCAAACTAGAGGAGGTAAGACTTTCTCAACCTAGTGAGCTGACTACCTAGTCAACACTTTCAGATCGGTGATATGTAGGCATCTGTGCTAAATGTAACCCCTCTGCCGCCCCTCTCACAGCTGGGTGTGAAGGCGGTGACCGTGGAGGACCTGGTACAAGCTCAGAAGGAGATCACAGCCCACAACATGCAGCTGAGGGAGCAGACCAAACAGCTGGAGAAGGACATGGCGGAGCTCCGCGATCAGAGCCTGGTGCTGGTGAGTGTTCCGCAATAAACCCTCATGGCCTGCCTCGACGGAGCAGAAGGATACTTATGATTCAGAAATGAAAGTTTCTGGCAGAAATTGAACTGAACGCCCATTGCTCGTATGTTTGTGTGTTTGTCAGCTGAAGGCTCGGTGTGAGGAGCTCAAGCTGGACTGGGGATCTCTGTGTTTGGAGACTCTGTTGAAAGAGAAAGCGGCTCTGCGAAGACAAATCTCGGAGAAACAGCGCCACTGTCTGGAGCTCCAGGTACTCACATGCACATTTTTCTCAGTCAGCTCAGAGCTAATAGGCCATTGCTTCTTTACCACAGTTGGTACAGTTGATGCTGTGGCACGCTGATCTTGGTGCTTGTGCGGGTTGCACTGGTTCAGACCTGGCCTGCAACATGGTACAATCTCATTTTCCTTCTCTGGACTTTAGTAATTTCCTGTTTCCCCACTATTTTGGTCTCATAAAGATGCACTGTGATGACAACCACACAGATTTTTTTGTTGTTTTACATGAATGGTTATGACAACTTGCATGTGTATGTACCATTTTCTAACCAATTAAACATCTGAAAAAAGATTAGGAAAAGATTTAAATGTATTACTTATGAGTTAATCATTTTTGTTTCTAAGGTTTAAGTAGATTTCAGTTGTTTGGGTCATCTAAAAAAAAAACTTGCCGCAACCTACTAGTGGATTGGTTTCATATTTAAAAGTATCATTACGTTTTTTTCCCAACATTTCATATTTGTATGTTAAAAAAAATGTCAAACATTTATCTTAAAACATTATTTATGCATTTGGAATTTTACTGTGTAAATGTATTAATGGAACCTCTCATTTAAAAAAAAAAAATTCAGATTTTTTTGATAATATGAATGTATTATTAATAGTTCATAATTACATATACACATATATATCTTTATTTTTAAATAATCAATATCTAAAATATATACAGTCCTTCATCCCAGCAAAATGTGTGTATAATTTTATATGTAATTATATAATAATTATAATAATAATAGCTATAATATGCAAAGTATTTTTATATAATTAAATGTAATTG